TCATTGCAGTGTTATTTACAATAGCTAAGATCTGGAAACAGGCCAAGTGCCCATCAGTAGATGAGTGGATAAAAAACCCTGGTACACTTACACAGTGGAATACCATGTGGCTGTAAAAAAGAAGGAACTCTTACCTTTTGCAACAGCATGGATGGACCCGGAGAGCATTACGCTAAGTAAAAGAAGCCAGTTAGAGAAAGACAGATACCATATGATCTCACTTATGTGTGGGATCCAATGAACAAAATAAACTGACACAGCCCTAGCCTGTTTGGCTCGGTGGATAGAGCATCAGCCTGTGGACTGAAGGGTCCCAGGTTCGATCCCAGTAAAGGACACTTGCCCGGGTTGTGGACTCGACCCCCAGTGGGGGGCATGAAGGAGGCAGCCAATCAATGATTCTCTCTCATCATTGATGTTTCTATCTCTCCTCTCTCTTCCTTCCTCTCTGAAATCAATAAAAATATATTTAAAAAAATAAACTGACACAGAGGCATGGATACATGGAACAGACTGACAGCTATCAGAAGGGCAGGGGAGAAGGGATTGGATGAAAGAAGGTGAAGGGCTTAACCAAAAAACATATACACAGAACACACAGACACAGACAATAGTGTGGTGACAGCCAGAGGGGAAGGGGACTTGGGGCAAGGTGGAGGTGAGCAAAGGGGGGAGGCTCGGGGACGGAAAGAGACTTTGCTCAGGGTGATGGGTGCACGGTGCGGTGTGCAGACGCTTTGCTGAGTTGTACACTTGAGACCTGTATGGTTTTGCAAACCAGTGTCACCCCAGTGAATTCAATAAAAAAAATTTTAATTTAAAAAAAAGAAAATTTCATTGGAAGAGCTTAAGAACAGATTAGCAAAAAAATAATAATAATACAAAAATAAGAAACTTGAAAAATAGCAATGAAAACTACCCAATGGAAACACATGAGGGAAAAAGGCTAAAAGAAAAATACCAACCCAATTCAACAAATGAGCAAAGGCCTTGAATAGACATTTCTCCAAAGATGCACAAAGGCCAATAAGCCCATGAAAATATGCTCAACATCACTAACCAATGCGGGAACGCAAATCAAAATCACGAGCAGATGCCCCTCACACTCTAGGATGGCTCCTATCAGAAGAAAGAAAAAAGCTAGTGTTGGTGAGGACGTGGAGCAATTGGAACCACTATGCACTGTTGGTGGGAGTGTAAAATGGTACAGCTGTTGTGGAAACTGTATGGAAGTTTCTTTAGAAATTAAAAATAGAATCACCATATGATCTAGCAAGTCCTTTAGCTATATACCCAAAGGAATTTAAATCAAGAACTTGAAGAAATATTTGTACATCCATGTTCATAGGAGCATTATTCACAATAACCAAAAGGGAGAAGCAACTCACGTGCCCATCAACATCTGGATAAACAAAATGTGGTGTATATACACGCAATGAAATGTTATGCAACCTTTACAAGGAAGGAAATTCTGCAATACACTACATGGATGAACATTGAGGAAACTGTGCTAAGTGAAATAAGTCAATTATGAAACTACTAATACTGCATGATTCCACTTATATGATGTACCCGGAGTGGTCAGATTCATACAGGTGGAAAGTACAATGTTGGTTGTCAGTGACTGGGAGGAGGGAGAGTGGTGGGTTATTTTTTAATGGGAACGGTGTCAGGATTGCCTGGTGGAAAGGATTCTGGACCTGGATGGTGGTGACAGTAGCGCAACAATGTGAGTGTACTCAATCCCACTGAACCGTACTCTTAAAAATAGTTAAGATGGTAAAATTTCTGTTGCGTGCATATTATTACAGTTTTTTAAAAAAGATACAGCCCTAGCTGGTTTGGCTCAATGGATAGAGCGTTGGCCTGCAGACTGAAGGGTCCCAGGTTCGATTCTGGCCAAGGGCACATGCCTGGGTTGCGGGCTTGATCCCCAGGAGGGGGCATGCAGGAGGCAGCCAATCAATGATTCTCTCTCATCATTGATGTTTCTATCTCTCTCTCCCTCTCCCTTCCTCTCTAAAATCAATAAAATATATTTTTAAAAAATAAAAAAGATACAAAGGTTAAAAATAATGAAGAGAGTCTCAGGAAACTCTGGGACAATAGGGAGTGGTCTAATATTTTTGTAAACGGAGTCCCAGAAGAAGAGAGAAATAAAGACTTTCAGACACACAAAAGCTAAAAGAACTCATCACTAGCAGACCCACACTAAAAGAAATGTTAAAAGAAGTCATCCTCCAGCCCTGGCTGGTTTGGCTCAGTGGATAGAGCATCAACCTGTGGACTGAAGGGTCCTAGATTCAATTCCGGTCATGGGCACATGCCAGGGTTGCAGGCTTGATCCCTAGTAGGGGGCCTGCCGATCAATGATTCTCTCTCATCTTTGATGTTTCTTGCTCTCTCTCCCTCTACCTTCCTCTCTGAAATCAATAAAAATATATTTTTTTAAAAGAAGTCCTCCAGGCTGCAGAAAAATGATATCTGATGAAAATATGAGATCATCTGCCCTAGCCGGTTTGGCTCAGTGAATAGAGAGTCGGGCTGTGGACCGAGAGGTCCCAGGTTTGATTCCGGTCAAGGGCATGTACCTTGGTTGCGGATACATCCCCAGTAGGAGGTGTGCAGGAGGCAGCTGATTGATGTTTCTCTCTCATTGATGTTTCAAACTCTCTATCCCCATGGTTGGCAAACTGCGGCTTGTGAGCCACATACGGCTCTTTGGCCCCTTGAGTGTGGCTCTTCCTAAGCCTTAGGAGTACCCTAATTAAGTTAATAATAATGTACCTTCCTATATAGTTTAAGTTTAAAAAATTTGGCTCTCAAAAGAAATTTCAATCATTGTACTGTTGATATTTGGCTCTGTTGACTAATGAGTTTGCCGACCACTG